TTTCTCTCTGCGTTTTGCTTTCTGTCATGTATTTTTGGGTCTGTACGAGGAGTAGGCTAGTTTTTTGCTTGAGCGTTTTAAACTCAAGTTTCAGTTTATTCCTATAATAAAAAAAAAACGATCTCAGTAAAACATAATATTCTTTCACAACTAAATGTAAAGCACTCCAACAGTTTCTGCAAAGTTTCTAACTCTCTCCGTCTCTCTCCCAGGCTCTAACACTGTCAGGCATACACCCGTTTTTCACTATGTTGAACCCCTCCCCAACTTCTTTCACCTCGGGAATCAGTAAGATTGCAATAGAAAGATTTACATAATGTACATGTACATGTATCTATTTAGTTGAGACGTTCTCATATTTTTTCACAGAATTTTTTTTTTTTATATGATTAATACACTAAATTATGAGCAAGCTAGCTACAAAATGTAAATATCCCAGGAGCCAATCAGAGCTCAGATATGTTAACACTTGATATTGGATATTTCTGTTTCCATCCTTTTCATTCATAAGTTTATTTTAACTTTTCGTCACTAATTTGACAATTCTCTATTGCTGTTTTTTGCCATTTTTTTTATAGCAATTTTGTGTTCAGGTGGGATTTCCCTTAAAAAATGATCGTTTAAAATTGAAACATAGTGGAATGCCACGATTAGCAGGCCTCTACAAACACCCACATTTTGTGTTCGATCGACGACCTCAAGGTATCAATAATTGTCATGCACGAAGTCAAGATATCCTGGCATACCAGGCGGTTACTGTCGAGCTTGTCTTTCTTCCCAGCGATAGTTGCTCGCTCCTGGGATAATAAGAATCAAAATAGAAAAAAATAACAAATAAAGGAAATATTTCAGTTCCCCCCGGACAACTTCTACCCGGACAACTACCCTGGACAACTACTCCTAGCATAGTTGCCCGGGGGAGAGGGGGGGGGGGGGTAGATGTCCCAGAGGATGGTTGTCGTAGGGGGAGTTGTCGTAGGGGTAGTTGTCCTAGAGGATGGTTGCCCTAGGGGTAGTTGTCCCGGGGGGTAGACGTCCTACATGGTTGTTGACTTATATAGAGGATAGTTGTCCTAGGGGATAGTTGTCCTAGGGGTAGTTGACTGGGGGTGGTTATCCGGGGTGGATGTCCAGAGAGTAGGTGTCCTAGAACAGTCATTTCCATCATATAACTCCTGACACATGCATGGTCTCTTAGTCTTACCTCTATCTTTTTCAAGAAGCCTTGAAATGATTGCCGCCTCTCCCTTCGCGGCTCTTCCACTTGCCTCGCTGTTAGAGATTAATAAACAATATAGAGAAAAATGAACCTTAAAACAGCCACTGAAAGTAGTTTGGTGATTTTTACGATGCTATTGTTTACGATCATCGATCATTATTGTTAACGATTATTACTTATAAATCATGTAAGTATTGCAAGTATTAGTGAAAGATTCCACATGAAGAAGGTAAGGCTAGTTAACACATCGTGCAAACGCCGCGCCGCCTCACCCGACATTCTCAACCGGGTTAAAAAGCTGAAGGCAGAAAAAGAGTAATCATATTTGAACAATATTGTACATATAATTTACGGTCAGACATAAATGTGGAGAAATAACGATGGCTTTTGAGTACGTTATTACCCGTTGTGACAAAAACCTCCTGCGAAATCTGTTATCAATTCTGCAGTTATATTAAAAGTGTAACCTTTCAACATCACATTTATGACAGTAGCATCCTTACTAATAGGTGACATTATTTTCAAACCAAAATATCACTTGCAGGGGCTTTTCCTTTTCAGACTCAATACTTCGATTATCATAAAGTGAGATGGCGTATAATTATACTTTGTTCTCCAAGGGCATCACGCAGTGCCTCACTTCCAGATATAAAGAAGCACTTTTCCTTTGCTTCTTCAAATGTGGAAACTGTGCCAGTCGATTTCAGAAGCTCGAAGGCATCTGTGAGGTGTCCCCGCTTCACCTGCAAGATAATGATGCCGATTAGTTGCCAATTATGTGTTGTTCTCCCAAATAAATGTAGCATTTATTTGAATATATACTAAAGTACTGAGTATCATGAGCATACTTCAGAATCATGATAATAGAGGATGAATATTTCAAAGCAAGATCGATACGGATTTGAAGTATAATAATGATTAAAATAACTTCTACTTATATAGCGCTTTTCATAAGAGATTTATATCAAAGCGCTTTACAATATTGATGCAAGTATTAACGAACATAAAACATTACAAGAGAACAAGATTGAAATTATCAAACATATTGTAACGATCCGCTCCGCGGTCGTGACGTAGCAAAGAGGTATAACCTAAATGATTGTTGTTTTCAAGCGCGTCAATCACCGACGTAAAATACAGTGTCGTACTAACTAATTTGCATACGAGTGCTTGACATTGGATCTTTTATTGAGATGCTTTAAGATGTTAAACTGTAATGTTTATAAGTATATCACATGAATTCTGATGGGAAGTTGTTTAAGCAATGTAACTTGTTAATATTAATTGCAACTGATATGTCATTCAGAGTGTTGTATATAATTAATGGTAAAATAAGAGATTTACTTAGATATTTTGCTCTGAACTTTGTGAGCCGAAGATATCCGCGGATGAGCGTACGGAAAGCACACGGACCCAGCGCTAGCTGTTTCTGACGCATTTTAGATGAATTTATAACATACTCTTTTGGAATTGTATGGTTTACTTTAGGTTTTAAAGTTTATTAATGAGAAATAACGAACAAATCTATTACGGACTAGCACCGTTTTATGCTTGTCCATTATACGCTGCACGTATGCTTTCCAAGATAGCTCAGCGCATCTCCCCCCCCCCCCCACACCACGTCCGCATTATGTTTTTATAACCCGTAACATTTCTGAAACACGAGGAGTCGTATTGGGACCTTCGTCGGGACACAACACATGTAATTAAGCTCCCCCTGGAAATCCCCCCCCCCCCTATAGCCATCTAAGGAACTAGCCGTTTATTGGAACTGGAATATGAAGGTACGGAGCGAAGTCGACGCTGGAATTAATATACCACTATTAAGATGCTGGAATTAATATACCACTATTAAGACGCAGGAAGATTGCTAAGTCCACCTCCCCCAACATGGTGCTATGGAATTAAACTAATACGGAAAACTCCCAAGTCCCAATGAACCATTGCCCTTCACTTTATTACATGTATTAGAATATAAGAACGACAATTGTATACATTATTTAAGTATAACTATGAGCACAAGGTACTTGTGACAGTGGTGATATTGTAAATATTTGAAGTACATGCATTAATAAAAGTTGACCATTTTCTTTTGTCTTGAAACTGAAATTATGAGTCTTTAAACACTTTGTCTTTCTTCTGAACTGGTACTCCGTCATAGTCGTATATTTCGACGAAACGAACGTAAATAAGTACAGTAGCTTCCCCCGTCTCTTCTCAAATAAAAGACCTAGTTCCTTTAACCGCTCGGACAATATGAATAAGATGTCGGCTGACGAATATCCTGACAGAAATAGTAAATTAGAATCAAATCCCCCAGCTGGGAATGAGAACAATCCCGACGTAGAGGTCGAGGTTGAAGACGGAGGCGCGGGGGGGGGGGGGGGCGTCTTATTTTTTCGTACCACGGCGAGCCCAGTTCGAGCTCGCGAGGGAAACCTGCGCATGCGCACTCGCGAAGGAAACCAGTGCATGCGCACATGGAATCCGGTAGGGTGGTCAATAGGGTGATAGTAATTATACACATCAAGCTGTCATCAACTCATCGTTAGCTCAATTGGCAAGGGAAGCGGGTTACTGATAACACTTTGTAATTGACATGAGGGTTGAAGTCTCAGTTTATTCAGTTTTTTTTTTTGCCTTTATAAATAGTGAGGCAAAGCAATAAATAATCAAAGTCTAAGGCACGAATTCACAAAGGAGGTTTGTCGACAAACCTCCTTTTCTTTCGCCAAACCTCCTTTTGTTCTTTACAAACCAGGTTTGTAAAAGACGCGTAAAAACGCGACATATGACGTACGAAAACCAAGGTTTGTCGACAAACCTCCGTTGTGAATTCGGGCCTAATTGTTTGTGACCTCTTTGCAAGCTTTACGTAGCTTGTTATGTATGAAAATGAGTTCATACTGGAATCTGGGCTCGCCGTGGTACGAAAAAATAAGATGCAGGCGGGGGCGGCCGCCACAATATTAAAGATAACAAGGTAAAGTATCAATTGAAGAACTAGGTTGAATATGCCTTTTTCATTCAGTTTTTTTTACTTTGATCTAAACAAAGTAATATCAGAGATGCAACGAATGGAAGATGGAAGAGAATAACGTGATCATAATAAATGATCAGAGTCATTCTGGGAGAGTCAAGGATAGACAAAACAATTGCTGGCATAGGCCAGAAATAGCGCGCGCCTTTTACAGCTGTTTAAGCGGTGCCTTTGTGAGACAGCGACATGTGAAATTTACCTCTGTAAAGAAACCGAAAATGCGCACAGCCAGTGAATCTACAACGGTGGAGTTATGCGCGCAGTAAGCGTGGGAACGCCGTGTGCAAGATTTTCTCACTTTCGACTTTATCTCCGCTCGGAGAAGTCCTTTTTCGAGAAGGCTCTACAATTGAGTATACAGATAAGTCTAAATAACGAGAGGAAATCCCAGTATATCGAAAGATGGGAAAGCGGAAATCAAGCCAGAGCCGGGTGGCCCGCCAACCAAAGATTGCTAGGCCTAGACAGTCTACAAGATTAAGGCAGTCTAGCAACGACACCACTCAAGACGTACTCGGCACCTCAACTCCCCGGCGGGCGGGGCGGCCAAAACGGGCGAGACACTCGAGCGGTAACCCCAGCAGTGGACGCTCAGCCACTACCAGCATAAACCCGGCTCCGGAGACTGACGGACCACAATACAGTGGAAACGAGACAACTGGAGCGAACCAGTCATCAAGCCAGCCGCCTTCACATGCACAGCCAATGCAAGGTGAGGTAGACGTAGCTATGCAATCACCCCACACGGGCAAGCAGTGTCGGGCAACCGACTCAGTCAGGCGCTACTGCCTGGGATACAAGGGGGGAGCACAGTGGTGCACACACATATAACACAGATCAGTCGCCCTTGTTTCCGGTCACTGATAGACTGGGGACTAAAGTACACCCCAACATGAAGGAAAAAATATGGAGAGGGCAATATGTAGATTTAAACACACTTCTTGAGACACAAAACATAGCAACACAATCAATGCCAGAGGCAGTAGACGAACAAGCCCCTAACCTAGCAATATCTCACGAAGGGGGAAGGTTAGTGCTGAAACCCGCTACCTCTAACAAAAATAAAATCGTGTCCATTGAACGGTGGACCGATGCATTTCTTGTATATACCAGTATTTATCTAGAAGCCAATCCAACTCGCTCACATGAGCTTCTGAAATATGGGCAACTAATCCGATCTGCTGCCTCTCGGTACTATGGGTATGGTTGGAGAGACTACGATGTCGAATTTCGACATCGCATGCACAGAAAAGGCGGGTTGTGGTCATCAATAGATGGGGAATTGTGGCTCCTTCACGTAATAGGTGGGGGATCTCCGCGAAACATGCGGATACAAGACCGCCCCCAAACCCAACAGGGATCGTGGGCAACCAAGCGGGAATGGGCCACACCCCGGGGGTCGAGCACAATAAAGTTCACACCCAATATGAATAAGGGAAGGGCGCCATCTCGGGCACAAAACTTTCGTGGCGGAGAATGCTATGAATTCAATTACCGGTCAGGGCAATGCTCTAGACAGGCATGCCGCTTTACACACGCATGTACCCTTTGTGGTAACAAAGGGCATGGGAAAATCCACTGCACTGGAGTCCAACGGTCAAACCTCAAAGCCATCAAACCCAACAACAAATAACTGCACCTCCAGAAATGGGGAACAAACACAGAAGAATAATAAAGATATACATGGCAATGTGAAAGAAGATAATAACATAATGCAACAGATGAGTGACTTAATGTCTCTAGCACAAACACCAATTATAACCGAGAACTTAAAAGTTATGTTAAAGACGTATCCTAACAGGGAGGCCGCAGAATTTTTGAAAAAAGGCTTTACTGAAGGCTTCAAATTGAATTACACAGGCCCCCGCATGCCGGCTGATATGCCCAATTTAAAATCAGTGGAAAACAACAAACCAGTAGCACTTGAAAAAATTCAAAAAGAGGTAAGACTGGGTAGATACCTAGGCCCATTTGAAGTTAGGCCACTAAACAAATTACGGTCGAGTCCCATTGGACTGGTGCCCAAAAAGGTGCCGGGCGAATATCGTTTAATTAACCACTTGTCATACCCACCCGGGTATTCAATAAACGATTTTATTCCGGATAAAGTTTGCAAGGTTGAATACACGAGTTTTGATAAAGCAACAGAATTAATTGTTGAAGCAGGCATAGGTGCCGAGCTAGCAAAAGAGGACATCAAATCGGCATTCAGGTTACTACCGATTCATCCAAATGATTTTGAACTGCTCGGGGTCAAGTTTGACGGCAAATATTATATTGACAAATGCTTACCCATGGGTATCAGATGTGCCCCAGCATATTTCGAATCTTTTTCTACGTTTATTGAACATTGCGTTAGGGAAAGAATTGGCTCCAACAAAATAGTGCACTATGTGGATGACTTCTTATGTGTGGGTTCAATACAAAATGAAGAATTAACATGTAAACAAGTTGTTGATACATTAATATTAGTGTGCAAAGAACTAGGCGTTCCCCTAGCCAAAGAAAAATCAGAAGGGCCTACTACTAGATTGACATTTCTTGGCTTAGAGCTTGACTCAGTACTAATGCAAGTACGTGTACCACAAGAAAAACTGGTGGAAATAAGACGGAAAATCGGCAGGGCGCTAGCTCATAAATCAGCCACCGTCAAAGAGATTCAATCTTTGATTGGCTCCTTGAATTTCATTTGCAGAGCTGTACGACCGGGCAGAGCATTTCTACGACGGTTAATAGACTTAACAAAAGGGAAAAATGTGAAAAGTACCAGTATAATGTTGAATGAGGGGGCCCAAGCTGACCTAACCATATGGCTCGAATTCCTGAACCACTATAATGGCATATCAGTCATCCCCCAGGAAGGGTGGGGAGGAGATAACGACCACGTTCTGTACACTGATGCTAGCGGGGAAATTGGTTTCGGAGCCTATTTTGAAGGCAAGTGGTTTAATAACAAGTGGTCGTCGCGCGAAATTATCGAGGGTACGTCAATAGCATGGAAAGAAATGATACCCATTCTACTCTCCATCGCTGCATGGGGGGAGGAACTCCAGAATAGGAGAATAGTCCTGTACACAGACAACATGTCAGTGAAGTTTGCAATAAACAAGCAGACATCATCATGTCCGAAAATAATGGAGTTATTACGTAAATTTGTGTTGATCTGCTTAAAGAAAAACATTGTCTATAAAGCAGTTTACGTACATACACTTGACAATGGTGTTGCCGACTCCCTTTCACGATTTCAGATGGGGCGATTCCGCAAACTAGCACCAGGAGCACGAGACCGACCAAGTCGTATACCTACGGGAATAGTGCTGACCTAGCAGCAGAAACACATAGACTACTAGGATAGTCCTTAGCAGAGGGATCACAGCGGGCATACCAGAGTGCTGTAGACTCATTTCAAGAGTTTCGATTGAATAGACAACTGAATACATCATGGCCTACAACAACTACACAGGTTATGGCATTCATCGCACACCTCTCCATTAATGGGAAATCATCATCAACCATCACAAAGCATGTCGCAGCGTTATCATATTTACACAATATGTACAGCTGGGCGGACCCAACTAAACATTTCTTAATTAAGAAAATGCAGGAAGGGAGCAGGCGCGACAGATCTATGGTAGACAGTAGAAGACCCATAACTTGGGAACTTTTAGAGACAATCATACCAACATTATACCTTGTATGCTATTCTCACTACGAATCAATGATGATTCACGCATCATATTTATTAGCATTTTTTGGGTTTCTGAGAGTGGGAGAATTCACGATTCAAAGGAAGGACGATGACTTAAACAAGGTCATAGCGAGGGATGACATCAAATTTTGCAGTGGCCCGAAGGGAAGCCTGCTAGTACGTATTAGATTCTCAAAAACCGACCAATACGGGCAAGGAACCACGATCAATATCGGTAGCAATGAGACAGATGAAAAGTGCCCTGTGAAAGCCATGAAAGCATACCTCCGTGTAAGACCTGATATAGATGGTCCGTTATTTTGTCATCGTGATGGGGCCCCTGTAACTAGGTATCAATTTAGTTCAGTTCTGAAGAAAACCCTACAGCACAACGGGTACAGTGGTAGCCAATATGGCACACACTCCTTTCGAATCGGAGCGGCAACCACAGCGGCCCTGAAAGGCGTTCCCCCAGAACAGATAATGGCAATGGGAAGGTGGCGCAGCTCTGTGTACATGCGTTATATCCGCTAAATATCAGGTGCAACTTAAAATTGATAGGAATAAACGTTATCATAAACATAATAATTATAAGAATAATAATAATGATAACTTTATATACAGCATAATATGTTACGATATCAACGCGCTCCACATAAATTATGCAATTAATTCCCAACAAGGCCACAACATTACATTAATAGAGATCACCATGACAAATTGGAGTTAAATTACTAACGGGCAAACGGGAAAGCAGTAATAATTCTACACAATTATTTAACCTAACTCGTTATAATACAATAAAAAGTTGAACACGACACAAAGTATACAACGTGCAGATCAATTATGTGAAGTGCTCATGTTAATAACCAGAATGGGACTGGAGGATCAACCAGGAGTTACTATCCTGATTAGACTCCCCCAATCATTAATATTGTCGTAACCCCCATCGCTGCTAGGTTTTACATGTAACACAGAGGAACGATCATTCCTTCCCTTTTTCCTTTTAATGGAAACCTACTATCACATACTTTCATAGTAAATTATAAGTGGGAGAATAAGTAGCCCGCGTGTATGATGATATGAATATGAATATAGAACACATTACTTTGGGGAGTTTTTCCATCCTGTTTCAGAGACAACCGGCGACAGGATCTGGATCGTAGGCGACAGCTTGGTCAGACGTGCCAAGCAGAGGGCGAGCATGCTCAACCGCCAAGATCTGGGAAGAGCAAGAGGGACGGTCCAATGGCACGGTCAGGGAGGAGCGACGTTACAAGACCTTCCGCGCCTGGTGGAGAACAGGTTGAGATACAACCAACGAGCACCTGCGCTAGTAATCGTGCATCTGGGAACAAATAACTTGGGCCTGAATGATGCCTGCCAATGCAGAATCGCGATCGATATGGCTCTTCAAACCCTTCGGACAGCCATGCCTCGTACGCACATCGCCTGGTCGACCATCATCCCACGCCTATTCTATCATAGCAGTCGTGGTCATCGAACATCACAAGACGCCATGGATGGGGTCAGGAAATCGCTCAACAAGTACGCGAGGAGATTAATAGCCCGGCTGCCGAATGCGTCAGTTATTGCTCATCAGTTGGATCCATCCAATCACAGTTTATTTTTAAGAGATGGGGTACACCTGTCCGACAGAGGATCCGACGCTCTCATCGATAACTTCCAAGAAGGAATAGACTCGGGCTTGGGTACACATGAATAGAACATTTACATCCACGGAAACGGGACAATAACACTAATTCGGCTATTAATGAGCCTTGTGGAATCTCGGACAGACTGGGTTCGATGTGACAATGGAATTATTATAACACAAAAAGTTGAGGAACAGCGTGTTGTAACGTGAGTTACATATTCAGATATATACGCCTTCATTTTGGGATTCACATTAAACTTGAAACTTATTTAATTGCTGACAAACTAGAACCATATTTAAATTAATGATTGATTTTGATGTACTAGTATACGTCGTACATAATTGTTAAGCTAGCAGAGGGTGGAGTCAGAGCCACTCGGTCGCACAGTAGCCTCAGAACTACAAAGTGGGCCATAGGGGAATTTTCCCCGACAAAGGAAATATAATTATTTTGCTCGTTAAACTAAGCCACAATGGCAATATTGTCGGGTTTTCGCCTCTATCACTGTCTGGCTAGCAGCAAGAATAATAACATAAGATTACAATATGTTACGGATTGAATCCATGATAAATACATGATAATAGTTAGTTAAACAGCATGGGTCCATAGATGGTAAGGAAGCAACCATGGCAAACCACGCCCAACCCCCCCCCCCCCACACAAAAAAAAAAAAAAAAAAAAAAAAAAAAATGTGGGTGGAGGATTTCTTTTACTCGTGATTATTCCATGGTTGGTTCCGATTATCACCACTTCTTATATATGCGCTGGTATAGTAGCACCGGGATAACATTGGGGATACTGCAGGAGATACTATCCTGTCGGTGGGTCACGTAAACCCCAGGTATCTGGGGTGATCGGAGGGAGTTACTACCCTTCCGCTGATCGCGTGACTCGAGACCCCACAAATATAGTGTTTCCATAACTATGTTATTTATGCATTGATGATTTTGTGAGTATTGAAAAGTTGTGGGGATCATCCGTAGGAGATACTATCCTACCGGCAGGTCACGTAAACCCCAGGGACCTGGGGTGATCGGAGGGAATTACTATCCTTCCGCTGATCGCGTGACTCGAGATCCCACAAATATAGTGTTTCCATAACTATGTTATCTATGCATTGATGATTTTGTGAGTATTGAAAAGTTGTGGGGATCATCCGTAGGAGATACTATCCTACCGGCAGGTCACGTAAACCCCAGGGACCTGGGGTGATCGGAAGGAGTTACTATCCCTCCGCTGATCACGTGACCGGAGATCCCTACAATTTTGAGTTTCACTCATGGTACATGTACCCTTAAGATTGTTGAATCATATCACGTTTATACATTATTGTCGAATTGTTTATGGTGGACCCTCTTTATTGTGGTTATAAGATGTTGTTATTGCTTTTATGCATGTTACTTGTTTTACTTTGACTTTCCTACTTTACATGTTTTGAGGAAAAGGACTCCTAGTTTCGGAGCGGAATAAATGTCGAGCAAACTGCAAATCAGTCTAAAGTTGTCTTCTTCCTAGAATAACGTGATCATAATGAATGATCAGAGTCATTCTGGGAGAGTCAAGGATAGACAAAACAATTGCTGGCATAGGCCAGAAATAGCGCGCGCCTTTTACAGCTGTTTAAGCGGTGCCTTTGTGAGACAGCGACATGTGAAATTTACCTCTGTAAAGAAACCGAAAATGCGCACAGCCAGTGAATCTACAACGGTGGAGTTATGCGCGCAGTAAGCGTGGGAACGCCGTGTGCAAGATTTTCTCACTTTCGACTTTATCTCCGCTCGGAGAAGTCCTTTTTCCCCGGCCCACCCACCCCTCTTTAGTTTAAGCAGAGTTGAAGAAGTAAACTACTTAAAGTTGATTGAGGATTGACAAATTGGAAGTACAATGTTGTTTTGAGTGATATAACGAATTGTATGTATTTAATATCATGGTAACACGGGGGTTGACTGGGGGAGGATTTCTTTACTCGTGATTATTCCATGGTTGGTTCCGATTATCACCACTTCTTATATATGCGCTGGTATAGTAGCACCGGGATAACATTGGGGATACTGCAGGAGATACTATCCTGTCGGTGGGTCAC